ATATATATATATATACACACACACTGTTATTGGCCAAAGCACTCATGAACCATAAAAAAAGGAACGAAGCCAAAAACACAAAAACGAATGTGTGAGTTGCTAAGAATTTTAATCTGGCAAGGATTTATTATGTAGATAAGTAGAACTGGGAGTATAAAGCAGTGGAAATGGGCTTACATTTTCTTTCTAGATCATTTGGAACTGCTGTATTAGTGATCATACAGTGCTGGGATGCATGATGCTTTCAGGGACTACTGGAATTTCTTGACTTGTGCCCTCAGCTACCAGTCCAGGTGGCTGTGTTTTTTGACTTTATGTATTTCTGTATTTAAATATTCTGTTATTGTTGCTTTGCCTGGCTCTTTGCTGTTCTGCTTTTTATTATCATATGCTATTTTAACTCATTATGGCTCAGGGTACTTCCCTGGCCTACCCAAACTTCTCTCTCTCCTTTCCATCAAGGTATAGAAATGTACACACTTACGAATGGACAGGAAAATAGCTAATATTCCAAGCTAAATGACTACATTTTCGAGCTTCACTCACAGCCAAGTATGGCCATGTAATTCAATTCAGGCCAATAGCGTTGTATGAGATTTGGGGGTCAGATGAGCCCTTCTTCACTGCTGTCTAGATGAAGCTGGGGTTTCAGAAGCATCAAGACATAGACTGCCCTTGAGAGTGAGTGTAGAAGGCATAGGCTCTAGCAGAAAAAGGTAAAAGTGTCTAGAAGAACTTGGCAGGGCTCCCATGGGACTCCTTCAATGCTGCCTCAGACTTTATATAAGAGAATAAATCCCTGCACGTGTAAACCACTGAAGAAATCTTTGTGGCATAACCAAGAGTAATTCTTTTTTGTTTAAAGATTTGTTTATTTATGCATACAGAACTGGGGTACAGCCCAGAGGTGCAGGGGGGTGAGAGGATTTACCAGAGACAGAGTGGGGAGCAGAACAGGCAGATCAACAAAGTACACTGCTGAGGGGAGCAGCAGGTGGGACAGGAGAGGTCTGCTGCACCAGGTGGGTCACCTCCAGGGCTGGGGCTCGAACTCACACTGAAGTGGTTGCAGCTAGCTTGCAGTGCTACACCCTAACCTGTTGTGCCATAAGGGAGGGCCCAACCAAGAGCAACAAACAATGCAATTAGGACTGACAACTGAGAAGATAAATGGAATGATCGTATGATAGGAAGCATCACACAAAGATATCCATGGGATATTAACAAGCCCAGTAAATAAGTCAAGGAAAAATATACTAAATATAATTCTGTTTTTCATTTGAACTATTAAAAAGGTGGGAATTACATGTGTGTAAAAATGAAGGGGAAAAAGTCTGAAAGTAGTTTTGCACATTGTATCAGGGATCCTTTCTAGGTGATGAGATTATGTGGCACATCTGTTTCTTTTAACACTGGTTAGAATTTTTGTTTTTAATAGAGAGCAGGTATAACTCCCATAATTAGTAAAAATATGCCATACCTGATACTCATATATCCTTTTTTATTTGCCTTTTATTTTCTTTAAGATTTATTTATTTATGCATACAGTACTGGGGTACAGGCCAGACTGCAGGGGTGGTGAGAGGCTTCACCAGAGACAGAACAGGCAGATTGACTATGTACACTGCAGAGGGGAGCAGCGAGCAAAACAGGAGAGGTCTGCAGTGACTGTGGACTTCCAGGGCGGTATAGAACTCACACCCAACCTGCCACAAAGCAGCCATGGCCAGCTTTGCAGTGCTGTGTTTTAACCTGCTGCACCACCAGGGAGGACCCTGATATTCATATATTCTAAAGACACAATGTTAGTCTATCTTTATCATTAAAAAAATTCTAAACTAACAATAATAGTATATATATATATATATTTTGCAGTAGAGAATTGTACTGTTATCTATCAGCCAGGTCAGTATGTAAAATATATTTAAGGCAGAGGTAAAACCTTTTTCTTTAATATCTAATTATAAAAAAATACCTTATAAAAATAAACTTTGCATAAGAGACTTGATTACAGTTATATATATGTATATATATTCAAAATAAATGTTAATGCATTGTATGAAATAACTAAGCACTCAAAGGTTATCTTAAGAGTACCTGCTAGTAGGAAGCTGCCTAGATTTATGGGAGGCACAAGGGCAGGCCATCCTACCTATGTTTTCTCTCCTAGATTCATCCTCTGATCTATAGTCCTGTCTTCTAGAACTATGACCTCCAAAACCTACTGCCTCGTGCTGGGTCCTCACCATGCTTCACCAGGAGAGAACTATGTCTCCTTTGCAGGTAAGGACATGCACCTACCTTCCCACTGGCCCGTCAACACCAAGGTCCTATTAATTACAATGTCGATTTCTGTAGCTCCATCTTCCACAGCCAGTCTGATCTCTTCTAATCGTGTTTTTAAATGAGTCTGTCCAGCTGGAAAGCCAGTGGCAACTAATAAAAAGAAAGAAAAAATGGAAAGGAGGAAGGAAATTGAGAGAGGGGGAGAGATAAGTGGTTAGTATCTCAACAAAGAATTTCAGACCAATAAAAATTACTATTCAGACTAGGCAGTAATTACACTTAAGAACTATATGCACATCTTGAAAGGTTGGCATGAAGAAACAGAATAATATCTTACATCACATTGGTGCTAGAATAAATATTACTATTATATGCTCTGGAAGACTTACAACTAAGTTACTCTGAGGCTTCTAAAGGGGGCTTTTAAAAAAAATACAAAGAGAAAATAAAAATAAGAGGGTGCTTTCAGTAGAGAGTCATTAAGAAAACATTACCAAAACAATGTGATAAAATAGTAGCAGCCTTCTCTTCATAGACACCAGCTAATTCCAACTGATTTGGTTCTCTCTGTATTCATGATTTATGATTCACATGTTTAGCTGTTGTAATTTAAGCTCTTCCCACTGCCTGTCTGTAACAGTCAAGCAACTGAGAATAAAGGGAAGTGACTGCAAGAGGGAAAACATCTAATTACTTCTGAAAATTGGGGTAGAGGCAGATGAGGGAAGAGCAGGACTAAGTGTAAGGAAAAGGAAAATGCAACCACACTTTTGAAAACTTAGTATTTTTTACATGCATGTCATTAATTCCATTCCCATTTATTGGGTTTCCTGATATTAATAAAATAATAATTGGTAAAATCCAGGAAAGCATGATTCTTAGTTATAGAAAGGAAAAGCCGAATTGATTGAGACTGATGAAAAAGGGTGATAAAGGGAATAGCTGCCAAATACTTTGGGGATCATCACAAAAATGTATATAAGTATCATACACTGTTTCTTTTGAGGTATCTCTAATAAAATAATGAGCATTATGGACTACTTCTTCATAGAACCAAGATATTCTTCTCACATCCACCACCAAGTTCCAGGTACTTACTTATCAGTGTAAAGCCCAAAACAACACACCTACATGATTTGGTGTATGTAGAGGGGAACAATTTCCTAGTTAAGAAGAAAGCTGTGCCAATGGCTTGTGGAAGACCTTCATTTTAAGCAGCTGTATAGTGAAATATTTCACTTGGATGCCAACACCATCTTTCTCCAGCTTGCTGTCATCAGCACTCACTAAGTAGAGCTTGTACTGATGACGGGAACGGTTAATTCCAAGGTCCTGGGTAATCCCTTCTGACTCCGTGACGCCGAGATTGAACAACTCCATTTATGTGACTTAAAGTGCTGCTCCTGATCTCATAAATACAAAATGGAGAACAGAGCTTGGATGCTTCTTGGTCTGACTGAAGACCTCGTGGAGCATGGTTGCAGCAGAGGCCTTGGGCCAAGATGAGGAGCGCAAATTTGTAAGCCTCCTCTAATAGCTTATAAATGTGGAATCTGTCTATTTATCCATCTTCACATACTTAGAGGCTTTTCCTTTCTCTCATGCCAAGCCCCACAGAGTCTATGTTAAGTCAATTCCTCTTGACATACCTTCTGCTCTTTCTTCCTGGCTTTTGGGCAACTCTCTTGATTTCTACAGACTTCAGTATGTCGTCCTAACTGCATTTCACCCTCTCTACTTCGTCGGTTCTCATCAGCTAACTTACTCCATCATGAAACTGGTCGCAGCATGTCTCTGTGTAAAACCTCTCAGTGAGCTCCCTATCACGAGCAGAAAGCGCAAAGGCCATACCACGGCCAGGCTTCCCCATGTAATTCTACCCCAATCCACCTCTCAGCTTCAGTCCTGACCCCTCTTCTTGGTCCTACCTAAGGAAGCAGTGGTGCAAACAGTTTTCAGTTCCCGATCCATGATTCTGAGCCATTCCCCTTCCTATCAACATTGTCAACTCCTCTTTTTTTCAAGACCCAGTCCATTCGTACCTCCTATAAGAAGTAATCCTTTACTCTGTGAAGGTCACCAACCTTGGCAGAATAAATCTCTCCCTGCTCAGTAACAACTGTCACTGCCTATCTGTATTATTGCAGTTTACATTTATAAAAATAAACACTGATTCTGCACAATGATTGTTTTTTGACTATTCTTGCTAAGCAAACAAGTTTCCTTAAGGACAGGGTACAGTTCTGTATCCTTGGGAATTAATATAATGTCAGCTACTTTGTCGGTAATAAGGAAATGCTAAAAGAATGAACACATGCAACCAGTTAGATGTATGAAACTGATCAAAATCATAGTATAAAACTGCAATACCCCTATGGAGTCAGAGCTGAAGAACTGCAAGTGTGTAGAACAACAAAAGTCACCAATCTTACCTGACGCCACTGGGATGTTACAGCCTGCAGCCTTTAGTGCTTTCACTGCATCACAGACCCGAGCAGGATAAACACAAACAGCAGCCGTGGTGATGCCTAAGAAGAAAGAAATCCTAACAGCCCACTGTATGTGAAGTTCAACTCACACAATATGCTTTTAGTTATTATTTATACTACAACATTGGCAGAAATCAAAACGAGAGGAAAAAAACCATTCCCCCATGCTGCAGCAAATGAAAAGGTTTTTATTTCCACATTCCCTTACAGTTTTTGATGACATGCATCATTTTCTCATCACTGTTCTCATCACTGCCACTTTTTAAAACTACCTGGGAAAGTCCTTAATCACAAACTTGGTAGTCTTGACTCCATGAAAATATATATGGAATCTACAGTATTCAAACAAGACAGTGACTGAAGAGAAGATCAGTGAGTTTTACAGGGGAGTACAGCAAAATGACATTTCCCTAATCATATGCCCTGTTTTGCAAGAATTAATACAATCTCAGTACGGATCCTTCATTTGTGAGGAGAAAGGTCTTAACATTAAAAAAAAAAAATAGCTACAATAAGACAAAAAAACAAGCAGCTGTATAGTGAAATATTTCACTTGTTACTTTAAGTGCTACAAAAAGGTGGTTTTTACTGTTAACTCTGAAGAAATATCACAAACACTTTTCAAAAGTGATTGAGTTATGGAGGTCTTTAAGTTCTCTACAAATTACGTGGGATAAAATACATGCATCGGACAAATACAGTCACTAGATGCCTACTCCACGTGGACACCTTGACGCATCCTTTCATTGAAACACCTGGCTCCCCACATCAGCCTGGTGAATAACAAGGTCGTGGTCTGGGAAATACCCATTAGATTTCCTGTGTCAGTGTCCTCACTTAAAATAAGGGATAAACCATATACCAGAGACATGTTGTGGGGGTGGAGTGGGGAATGGGATCAAAAACGGTGGGTGGGGGCGGCGCGACACAGAACCTAGAGGAAAAGAGATGGGGTGGGGCTGGGCGAGGGAGGAAAAAGGGGGGGGGGAGGAAGGAGAGAACAGGCGCGGCCGGGCTGCTCTCAGCCAGTCGGCAGACGGCGGGGACTCCATTGCGACGGAGGCAGCAGCCCCCACCCCCGCACTGCTGACCCGCCCTCCCAACTCCCCCACCCCCCCGA